CCACAGGCACCGAGCCAAGAATTCTGTTTTAAATATATTTTACTTCATGTCTTTTTTTTTTTTTAATTGAATGGTAACTATGTACATTAATGTACTTCTGGGATACAGTGTGGAGTTTTCACATGCAATCCGAAATACTTCCATCAAACTGGTCAACAGAGCCTTCATGTCATTTTCTCAGTTATTGTTTTAAAACGTTCACATTCTACTCTTAGCAAGATTCACTTGTACCCTTGTAAGATAAACCTTAGAAGTGATCCCCTCCAATCCCCCTCCCTCCACCCATTCCCCCTTCCTTACTTCATGTCTTTGAGAGCTCACAATTCTAAGAAAATTTGAGGTCAAGTTGGCAGATGTTCAGCTCCTCTAGTTATTTATTTCTATAGATTCAGTTTGAAATTCAAACTGAACAGGGTAGAAATAGTAGATTGTTTTATAGGATTGTTGTTGAAATAGGAGATCTGACTACTTAAGTTAACTGCATGTAGTTCTGATTAAGGTTTTAAATAATCTTGCTGTTTAAGCTACTTGATGGCTTTGAGCCATCTTTTTCCAATATGAAATCAGGAAATGATTTTGAATTTGTTTCTAGTTGTTGGCACCTAAGTTATCTAAATGACAGTCAGCCTTTGGTACCCAGACCAAAAGAGTAAAAGAAAAGATGCTGGCCCTGTAGATGTATCGTCTGAGCAGGTGATGTTAATGGCAGTAATCGGGAGGCAGATGACACTAGTGTGGGGTGACTTACAGATGAAGACAAAGGAACATTCTACCAACTACAGAAGAGAATGGAAGCCCATGGTTTCAGAAGCATAAACAAAGGAGACAGAAACATCAGGAAAAAGCATTGGAGAGTAGACGGAGTAATTAGGAATAGCCACTTGCTGCTCTGGCTGCTCTAACACTGGAAAATGTTTGCAGCTCTCTGTGTGAACAGTGATTGGCAGACTGCGCCTAGTGTGTAAACAGTTCTGTGGTCTTTTTCACCCCTAGGTATTAGCTAATCATGAAAGTGATGCTGTGTCTATAGCAAGAATTTAAACCATGTGCACTACCCTGTTTAAGAAAACATTTAGCTACGCAATGTCTTTTAGCTAAATATCTATTAAAAATCAGCTGTGAGAATAAATGTATGAGTGCCTCACTTCTGTTTCCATGGGACAAACAACTTGGGGGCATAACTTTTTTGTAAGCCTTCCAGGTACTGACACAATACTAGAAAGCTGTCTTGTTTTGTTTTTTGGGATAGAGTTTCACTCTTGTCACCCTGGCTAGAGTCAGTGGCATCACAGGTCACAACAACCTCAAACTCCTGGACTCGAGTGATCCTCCTGCCTCTGCCTTCTGAGTAGCTGGGACTACTGGCATGTGCTACTGAACCCAGCTAGTTGTTTCTACTTTTAGTAGAGACAGGGTCTCACTTTTGCTCAGGCTGGTCTCAAACTCCTGGCTTCAAGTAATTTTCCCACCTTAGCCTTCCAGAATTCTAGCATTACAGGTGTGATCCACTGTGCTTGGCCAGAAAGTTGTCTTTATTTTACAAGTATTTAATATTGTTTTCTTTTTTCTTTTTTGAGACAGAGTCTCACTATGTCGCCCTCAGTAGAGTGCTGTTGCGTCACAGCTCACACCAACCTCAAACTCTTGGGCTTAAGTGATTCTCTTGCCTCAGCCTCCCAAGTAGCTGGGACTATAGGTGCCTGCCACAATGCCTGGCTATTTTTTTTGTGGCAGTTATCATTGTTGTTTAGCAGGCCCAGGCCAGGCTCAAACCTACCACTCTAGGGTATGTGGCCAGCGCCCTACCCACTGAGCCACAGGTGCCACCCATTAATATTTGTTTTCTTATGTCAAAAATTATTTATCTTGGAGAAAAGGGAACACTTCTACATTGTTGGTGGGAATGCAAACTAATACATTCCTTTTGGAAAGATGTTTGGAGAACACTTAGAAATCTAAAAATAGACCTGCCATTCAATCCTATAATTCCTCTACTAGGTATATATCCAGAAGGCCAAAAATCACTTATAACAAAGATACATGTACTAGAATGTTTATTGCAGCCCAATTCATAATTGCTAAGTCGTGGAAGAAGCCCAAATGCCCATCAACCCATGAATGGATCAATAAATTGTGGTATATGTACATATACCATGGGATATTATGCAACCTTAGAGAAAGATGGAGACTTTACCTCTTACATGTTTGCATGGATGGAGCTGGAACATAATCTTCTTAGCAAAGTATCTCAAGAATGGAAGAAAAAGTATCCAGTGTACTCACTTTTACTATGAAACCAATTTATAGCTTGCTTATGAAAGCTATAACCCAATTATAGCCCAAGAAGAAGGGGGAAGGGGAGGGGGCAGGATGGGTGGAGGGAGAGTAATTGGTGGGACTATACCTACAGTGCATCTTACAAGGGTACATCTGAAATTTACTAGGTGTAGAATATATTCTATCTTCCTTTTTTGAGACGGAGCCTCAAGTTATCCCCCTGGGTAGAGTGCTGTGGCATCATAGCTCACAGCAACCTCCAATTCCTGGGCTCAAGTGAGTCTCCTGCCTCAGCCTCCCAAGTAGCTGGGACCACAGGCGCCCGCCACAATGCCCTGCTATTTTTTGGTTGTAGCCGGCGTTGTTGTTTGGCGGGCCTGGGCTGGATTCGAACCTGCCACCTTAGGTGTATGTGGCTGGCACCTTAGCTACTTGAGCCATAGGCACAGAGCCAGAATATAAATGTCTTAACACAATAACTAAGAAAATGCCGTGAAGGCTATGCTGACCAGTTTGATGAAAGCATTTCAGATTGTGTGTAAAATCAGCACATTGTACCCCATGATTGCATTAATGTACACAGCTATGATTTAATAAAAAAAAATTTATCTGGAGAATATAGATATAAAGAAAATAAAAATAAAATTGTTTGTAATGCAACCACTGAGAATAACCACAGTTAACTTTCTGATTCTATTTTTCCAGTGACTTTTGTGTCTATATTTTAAAAGGAAGTAAAAATGAGTTGATGCTGCATATACTATTCACATATTGAGGACAGTTTTCTATACCATAACCATACCTCTTTCTCCTACTGTGTATAATGGTATTTAACCTAGTAGTTTTATAGTAGAACTAAACAGAGTTTTGATTTACTTACAGCCATGTATTTTATTATATGGGATCACGTAGAAAGTCAAATATCAAAACTTGGGGATGGCTCAGCGCCTGTGGCTCAAGCAGCTAAGGTGCCAACCACATACACCTGAGCTGGGAGGTTCAAATTCAGCCTGGGCCTGCCAAACAACAATGATGGCTGCAACCAAAAAATAGCCGGGCGCTGTGGTGGGTGCCTGTAGTCCCAGCTACTTGGGAGGTGGAGGCAGGAGAATTGCTTGAGCCCAGGAGTTGGGGGTTGCTATGAGCTGTGATGCCACGGCACTCTACCCAGGGTGACAGCTTGAAGTTCTGTCTCAAAAAAAAAAAAAAACCCCAAAACTTGGGGATGTGAAATGTTAATTCTTGAGAAGCCAATGACCACTTGTTAATCTGAGACTTAGAATTAATTATTTAATATATTGCATCAAAAGTTCCTTATACATATGTATTTATTTTGAAAGATCCCTTATAAAATAAAATATCTTCTTTCTGTTTAGCATTCTCTGGATATTCAACAAATACAAAGTACGACCCACACCAAATTAAAGCAGAAATAGCAAGTCGTCGGGATAGGGTGAGTAAAACCATTGTTTTCACAACTGGAAGCATCATATGTATTTTTGTATAACATCATTGATCATGGTTCATTTCATGGTAATGAGTGTGTCTGACACTCATATTTTACTAAAGTTTTTGATTTCTTGGATTATTGCATTTTGTTTTATTTTCAGCTTTTTTCCAATAGGAAGGAAAAGTTTTATTTTAAAGCCTTAGCTCATCTAAAAAAAAGTAGTGTGTGCCCCTGTGCATGTTTCATGGGGGTGGACTCACCAACCCTTTAGTTTAGTGACAAGGCCGGGTCTCACAGGGCTGCTTGCCCACATGAGCAGGATGCTGGCCTTGGCCTTGGCAACCTTGGAATTGCCTTCTCCCCTGGTTCACTAGTTAGTCCCAGAGGGATCACTCCTGCAACAGTGTTTGACAGAAGGCTCTGATGCTCCTTCCCTGGTAATGCCTGAATTATTTATTTGCTACCTTGCCTAATCTCTTTAGACCCTTGTCTTGGTTATCTGTGAAGGTGAACACTTTTGTTGTGTTTGTGACAAAGCATGGGTAACATTAGGCAGTTAAGCCTTCTCCTCTCCTGGTGTGTCGTTCCCTGATCCAGGGTGTGCCTTTTAGTTTGGTGATTTTCAAATTTTATCACACCTAGGAAAAACACCTGGGGAGCTCGTTTTAAAATGTGAATTCCAGACCTACCCCTCTCCCCCCAAAGTTTCGATAGGCCTGGAACAGGTCCCAGAGTCTGTTTAGATAAGTACTCCAGGTCCAGTTGGATTTCAGGCAGTCAGGGAGCACTGCTTTCAGAGATAAAGTTTCTTATGTGGGATCCAGAGTAGTAGAAGGAAAGATGAACAAGGTATTACCAAGTTTGCTAATTGTAATGTGTACATCATTAACTTGAAAAAGAAAATACAGTAGAACCTCTGAAAGTTGACCACCCAAGGAATTGTAACAAACTGGTCAACACCCGGACGTGGTCAACATAAGAACTAGGCCTACTATGCTGATACGTACATGTGCTGTACATCCAACCTGTGAAAATTAGATCAATTTATGAGGGTGGTCAGTATAGGGAGGAGAAGCTATGGCGGTCCTACTGTATGTAGGTGCTGGTTCCCCACTTGAGTAGGGACCTGTCAGCAGTCTGGGATTATGTATGTGAGCGGAAGTTCACGGAGAGAATAGATGATCTACTGAATTGCAAGCTAATTAGAAACTTAGATGACAATGTTAATAACAATTATAGAAATAATTTTTCACAGCCTGTTTTTGGAAAAAAAATATGATTTGTCTTTAGCTTTCCAGATTAAAACGAGAGCTGACCCAGATGAAGCAGGAACTGCAGCACAAAGAAAAGGGGGTGGAGACCCTGCAAGAGTGAGTTGCCTGTGCTTACAGACAGAAGCACCTTCCTGAGATTTCTTCTTGTCCTGACCTGTCCGATACCTGGACACTGTCTGAAAGCTTCATCACCTTTGCTTTTATGCCTTTATTTATGCTCACTGTTGCCTAGTTCTGACCATGACAATCTCTCTTTTTGTTCGTGATACTTCATTCCTTCAAATGGGAAATGAGACCCTTATTTTTATATTTATGCACATTTGCTATAGCTGCACAGTCCAAGATACCCATGGCTATTTACATTTAAATTTGTTTCTTATGGCTTTATTTTCCTGAATTTTTTAATTCTAAAATTTAAATTGAAATTAATTAAAGTAAAAATTAAAAATTTGGTTCCCTAGTCTTGATAGTCCCATTTGAAGTGCTTAGTAGTCACATGTAGCCATTGCAGATGACATTTGGGGCTAGATCATTCTTTGTCTTGGGGGAACTATCCTGTGCACTGTAGGATGTTGAGCAGCATCCATGGTCCTTACCCACTAGATGCCAGGAGCACCCCCACCTCCAGTGTAACAACCAAAGTGTTTCCACACATTGCTAAGTGTCCCCTAGAGGACATATTTGCCCTAGTTGGGAACCACTGGTCTGAGGCTACTGTATTAGACAGTACATGTAATAGATTTCTATCATCATAGAACGTTCTTTTAGTCTGGTCTGTACGTCTTCCTCCTGTTTTCACCTGTACAATTAGAACTTTAGTCTACTAAGACTTTAGATATGAATTTCTTATAATTAAGCTATTAAATGAGCAGGTTTTTTGTTTTTTTTTTTTAAGACAGAGTCTCACTATGTTGCCCTTGGTAGAGTGCCATGGCGTCACAGCTCACAGCAACCTCAAACTCTTGGGCTTAAGCGATTCTCTTGACTCAGCCTCCCAAGTAGCTGGGACTAGAGGCCACAGTGCCCAGCTATTTTTTTGTTGCAGTTGTTTAGCTGGCCTAGGCCCGGGTTCAAACCCACCACCCTTGGTGTATGTGGCTGGCGCCGTAACCATTGTGCTACGGGTGCTGAGCCTAAATGAGCAGTTTTAATGAACTAAAGCTGTTTTACAAATGATGATAGTGTTTGTCTGAAAGAATTCATTTCTTTAGTAAAGGGTATTTTCTGCTTGTTGCCCAAGTTAGCCTCTGTTGGTTCACTGGCTTTGGTTGCTAAACTTGGACGTACTTTTCTCATCTGTAAATGGTGATTGTCTTAGTCGGCTTAAGCTGCTATAAAAATACCATGCCCTAGGTGACTTAAACAAGGAATAAGCATAAGCAAATCACTTAATTTGACAGGTCATGAAAGTGACCATGACTGCCTAGTTGAACTTGAGATTGATTTCCTACTATGATTGGGCCATACTATAGCTTTCTTTCATGACTCTATGATGTCTGTGGATAACATAGGTTTTTTTTTTTTGTTTGTTTGTTTTTGAGACAGAGTTTTACTATGTCACCCTCAGTAGAGGGCCATGGTGTCACAGCTTACAGCAACCTCAAACTCTTGGGCTTAAGCAATTCTCTTGCTTCAGCCTCCTGAATAGCTGGGACTACAGGTGCCTGCCACAACGCCTGGCTATTTTTTATTTTTTTTAAGTTGCAATTGCCATTGTTGTTTTAGCTGGCCCGGGCTGGGTTCAAACCCGCCAGCCTCAGTGTATGTGGATGGCACCCTACCCACTGAACTACGGGCGCTGCCATGGATAACATAGTTTTAATGCTGGGCATTGTGTGTGCTGGAGGCTGTTAATTTAACTCTCACTCGGAGAGGCTCTGAGGAAGGTAACTGGGGTTCAGGAATGGTCTGGGTTTGCACAGGACCCCTGAGTGTCAGAGGGGAGCCAAGCCTGGCACTTCCCCCCACTGACTATGGCTTCTGTAGCAGGATTGTGGGAACTACTCCTATTCCTTCACCCGGGCTCCATCATTCTCGCAAACTCCCATTTCCTTATTTGAAGATAAAGATTATATTGCAATGTTAGCTACGACTGAATAATCTAGAATATAAAATGTGCTAATAACTGAGAAAATCCCCTTTCCCTTGGCATTGCTAGGAAATAAATGCATCTCTTATAGGTGCAGTAGTTTGCAGAATAGGAAACTGTTTCTCCATGTATATTAGACATGAAGCAAGATGGAGTATGAGTTGTGCTCCTGGACGAGAGAAAGGCCAGTGCTGCTTGTTTTTTCTTCTTTCATTATCAAGATCCCATGCTTGGGAGCAGCGATTGTAAACTTGGCCCTTGCCAAGGGGAGGCTTCTGGTGCCTGCCAGAGCTTGAGAAGATGCCCACCCTCCCCTGAGGAGGCTGAGGAGTGGTGCAGGGAGGCCCAGCACTTGGCTTTGGTCCTCAGGGGCCTGCCCCCAGCAGCAACCTCCCAGGGGCGTAGGTGCGTCCAGTCTGTTTGATGCTGCGCTGTCACTGCTTATGTTTACTTTATTCTGTGGCGCAGCCTCAGAGGAAGACGAGGAACATGGGCACTTTTGCTACTCTTTGTAAATGAAAAAAATCTGGTAGCCTTTCTCTGAGTTCCACAGGCATTAAGATAAAAACAGCCTCATTATTTTTTATGATATTGAAAATTGGGCTTCTATGTTTGGATCAAATCCTGCTAATGTATATCATTTACGGAGAAATTTTGAAAACCCTTTTTAAGCATTGAAAATGTGATTATCCCACTTCTGTGAAATCCTGACTATAAGTATAGACAGCACATGAGCTGTTGTACATAAATATGGAGCTTCTCTAATTATATTTCCAACATCAATTTAAGGCAGCGGTTGTAGATTTTCTTCTAGAAAATTTTCTGCTGTTCCTGCTTCCCAGAATATCCAGTGTATTCTTTTCCAGAGCACCTCACCAGGAGCTTGGCTGCTTACAACATTTTAAACTTGACTTGTTTACCTTGGTGAATTTCCTGGCTAGCAAGGAAATCCATCATTACACTTGGATCCAAGTAAGGAAAAAAGAAGTTTTTGTATTTTATTTTAAACCTATATACATTGTTAATTGTCATAGAGGGGAGCTGGCCGTGGATGTATTAATGACTTAGTGATATAGAGTATGTATATTCATATGTGTATGTATATAATTATACCTATATACATATATGAAGCATATACATCAACTTTTAATAATGACAAGTGTCAAACATACACAAAAGTAGAGACAATAGCATAATGAAACCTCCGGTACCTCTCACTCCATTTTATCCACACAATGAGTAATTTTGGTTCATCTGTGACCCTGCCTGACCTGCTGAGCTATCACTGCCTTATTAAAGAAAATCCTGTAAACACATTTAATCCATAAATATCTCTCCTAAAGTTATGGGCTCCTTTTGAAAACACAACTCTTGTCCCCATACCTTGCTCGATAGGTACCCTGTTTCCTGTGAGTCCCCCTATTTCTTTAGCTGTTTGGGTCCAGATCCAGATGAGGCCCACACACTGTGATTGGTTGATGTGTCTCTTAAGTCTTCTAATCTCTGCTCCCCTTCCCTTTTTTTCATGACAACTTATTTGCTGAAGAAAGTAATTTTCTTGTCCAGTAGAATTTTTGCTACTTGAATTCACAAGGGTGATTGAACATGTTCCTCTGTCTCCTGTTATCTATGCAAGTGGATATAATTAGTTTGAGAGGTTTGATCTTTTTCAAGTTTGGTTCCTTTTTCTTTTCTTTTTTTTTTCATTAAGAATGTCTTGTGGGAAGTGGTGGAGGTATTATTTCCAAAAGGAGGCTTGTATGATCTGGTTGTCTTTTTTTCATGGTGTGAAGATTATTGGCGGGTTCTGGCCTTGTTGGCTTGATACTTCCATTTATCATTATTTCTCATCAGCTTTTTACCTAATGTTGTGCATATGTATCTTTTAGGATAAGTTCCTCTAAGTAGGCTTGCTGGGTGAAAGAGTGAAGGCATTTGTGGTATTATAGGTTGACTATTCCTTATCTAAAATTCCCGAGACCAAAAGTCCTTGTTTAAGATTTTGGGTTTCTTGAAATTTTGGAATATTTGCATTATGCTGAGTACTAGTTCAATATCCTTGATCTGAAAGACTGAAATCCAAAATGCTTCAATGAGTATTTCCTTTGAGCATCATGTCAGTACTCAAAATGTTTTGGATTTTGAAACTTTGGATTAAGGATGATTAATTTATATTGGATATGGCCAAATTCCCCCCTAGGGATTGCACCATTTTGCATTCCCACTGCTAACATATGAGTTTTCTCTTTTCCTATATCTTTGCCAAAAGAATGTGTTGATAAACTTTTATATTTTTGCCAGTTTTGTAGGTAAGAGATAGTATCTCTGGCTCGGCGCCGGTAGCACAGTGGTTACGGCACCAGGCACGTACATCAAGGGTGGTGGGTTCAAACCTGGCCTGGGCCAGCTAAACAACTGTAACAACAACAAAAAGATAGTAGGGTGTTGTGGCAGGCACCTGTAGTCCCAGCTACTTGGGAGGCTGAGGCAAGAGAATCGCTTAAGCCCAAGAGTTTGAGGTTGCTGTGAGCTGTGACGCCACAGTACTCTACCAAGGGTGACATAGTGAGACTCTGTCTCAAAAAGAGAGAGAGAGAGAGAGATAGTATCTCAGTGTAATTTTAATTTGCCTTTCTCTTGAGGCTTTTTATAAAAGTCTTGAGAAAATAGGTGAAGACTTTCATTTCCAAGGAAAGATTTGCTGGACTCTGTTGCCCTAAAGTTTCTGAAGGTCGTTTCAAAAGTACCTTAGTGTAATTTATTACTAGTATCCAGAGGCAAAGGGAAAGGACTCAGAACCAAAGTGTATACAGTATTTCCAAAATGGGCGATCCATGAGATTGGGCTGAGTACACCAATAGGTGTGGGCAGATTCACTCCACTAGTTCTTTCCTGGAGATCTCGAATATTTCCTGTGTTAGACTCTGAGTTGCCCTGCAGCTCGGAACCTCATTTAACATTGCTTCATCCTGAGTTTCCTGTGATTATGGGAACATTGAAGGGGCAT